TAATCACGTAAGTCCTTAAAATCAGAGAACCTTTCCTGGGACTGTGTCAGAGAGAGATGTGAGGACAAAAGAAAGTTCAAAGGGATGCAGCATTGCTGGCTTTGAAGATGGAGGAAGGCGGTCATGAGGTAAGAAAAGCAGGTGGCCTTTAGAAACTTAAAAGGCAAGGAAATGGATGCTTCCCTAGAACCCCCAGAAAGGAACACAGCTCTGCTGACAACGCGATTTTAGCTCAGTGAAACTCATGTTAGATTTCTGACCTCCAGAATGGCAAATAATAAATTTCTATTTTTCAAAGCCACTAAGTTCGTGGTCATTTGTTATGTCAGCAATAGAAAACTAATGCTCATCAAGCTTGCTCCTTCTCTAATTGGAGGATTGTGGTTGTGGGGCTTGGCCCTCACCATCCCTTTTCCTGATCTTCCCCTAGAAAGCTACATGGTTTGCTTCTTTATTCGCTCAGATCTCTGTCCAAACATCACCTTATCAGAGAATCTGAAGCCAGGTTCCTGAGGGCTACTGTAAATATTCAATAAGGACATGATTACCCTTAGGCCATGTTCCCAACACAGACACAGAAGAATAGAAGTTAATCTTGTTAATTTACTATTTTCTTGTTTAACCTGAGGGGTGGCTCAAGGGTCACAAGGACTTACGAGATTGTTTTGAAGAAGAAAAAGAATGCCTTTAAGGAAGTTACAATTACCAGATAACCAGCCTCCAGCTGCTGTTGACTCCGGGAAGTCTGGTTGCCCAAGGGCTTATCTGAGCTGATAGAAACATTGATTTCCCCTTTGTTTCTCCGAAACTCCTCCTCCCAAGCCCCTTAGCTCTATAAAGACCCCCTGCTTTCTTCTTTCATTCAGGCAGATTTGAGAGAACCTATCCTCCTGCCTTCTGTTTTGGCCAGTTTGAATAAATCTTTCTCTATCTCCAAGCCACTGGCGTCTCCGTGATTGCACGTCAGGCACAGGAACTTGAGACCAAGAGGTTCAGAATGAAATCCTCAATAGATCCCTTAATGTTAAAACAAAACAAAACAGAAACAAAGCAAAACAAATCCCATGATTCTTTTTATCATCCTTTATTTTTCACTATAGCACTTATCAGCTGACATATTATCTGTTTAGTTGTGTTTATTGTCCGTCTTCCCCTGCTAGAATTTGAGCTTTATGAAGGCAGAGTTTTTTCTATTTTGTTCTATCTGTATCCCCACTGCCTAGAATGATGTCCAGCTCACAGTAGGGAGTAGGCCATCAATAAATACTTATTGAGTGAATGAATGGATGAATAAATGAAGACTCTCCACGTCCCCTGAGGCCTGCCATATTCATGTACTTCCCTTTGATGAGATTTCCTGGAATTCTTCCCATCAATTCTCTTCTAACTTAACTAGGGTGAGGGTGTCCTGCCTAAGCCACATGCAGAGGATGTCCACTTGGAATCTTGTGCCCCTCTGTTTTCCTGTTGTCTCTCTTTCCAGTCCTTGACACGAACCTTGGGTGAGGATGTGCCTGTGGTCTCTGCACTGCCCACCTATACTTCCTGAGTAGTGTCTCTTTCTCTTTCACTCCCTGTTGGTGCTTTTGTTTTCAACTTTTAAAATACTGTCTTAATTTTAGTTTTCCCAATGGCAGACCCAGAAGCAAGGACTGGAGTGCAAATAGGTTATTTGGGAAGGTTGTCCCAAGGAACACAAGTAAGGAAGTAGGGAAAGTGAAGCAGAGAAGGGGTCAAACCTAATACAGAGTGCAGTGAGGAGGGATTGACCACTGTGGGCAACTGAGTTCAAACTCCCTAAGGACCTTTTGAGAAATATGTGGAATATGCTCCTGAATGGACCTCCATCAAAGACAAGGAAGCTGTGGTATTTATCCACTGACTTCTGTCCCTCACGGGTTGAGAGCTACTCCTGAGTGTGCAACATCCCTGGCATTTGTAGTCGCCCTGTAGACAGGCTGAACAAATTCTCTCAAGGTGCTGGAGAAAGCCCTCAGGAAGATAAGCAAAGGAGATAGGTACTTGAGAAGGGCAGCTGACAACCTGCCTCAGGCTGTCTACCTCTTTTCATTCAAGAACTGAAAGCATGCTTAGATTTGATTAAAAATGAAGTGGAACAAAAAGACTAGGCCTCCTGTCAGTTCCTTTGGAAGGACAGTCTTTTCCTGCAAAAGTTTCAGAGTAATTACATTTCTAACTCGCAGGACCTCCCAGATTTATTCACAGTAAATACTCAATTCATGCAATTACAGTATGTCTCTCTTCAGTCTGAAAGGCACTCTCGAAGAAACAACATGGTATCAGACTGTGTTGAATATTGTGACCTAGCGTTTGTCTTCCGGCATGACTGAATGGTCAATGACTCTTCGCTCACTTCTCATGTCTACTTGAAAAACTCTGTTTTATGGCAACCAATCCCTCTTTTTCAAGCAACTGAAAAGATTGCAGAAACTGTAGACAAAAGGGTCCAAAATTTATATCTGAAATGCAAGGGTGAATTCTTCAAGATTTTTAAAGTAACTTTTGATTATAGAAACAATATATTTTATGGTTGAAAATGATAAAAGTATCCAAAAATAAAAACAAGAAAAAAGTCACCTATACTCTGATCATGTATCTATAGTCATTTTTAATATTATAATGTCTTTATTTTCAACACACACACGTATATAATTATAGATATATTTATCCTTTCTTCTAAAAAATATATATACATATATATATATAGAGAGAGACTTCTCTGAGAGAAAACTGTCTCTAAAATGTAAGTATACACTGGGATTCCCTGAAAAGGAACAATGCAAAGAAGAAGGGGGAACCCTAAACAGACGAATGGTCCTGGGGAGGGTGGCCCTTAGCTATGCATCTTCAGGTGCAAGTATAGCAGCTGCTCCTGATGGCTAACCTCATACACCCTTGGCCCACCTCTGAGTTCACCTTCAGCTACAGTGGACTAGTTCCTAGCATATTGACAGCCACCTACCTCAAGCACAAACCCTCTCTGCTTTCTGTCTGAGGGCTTCCTCCAGTACCGTGAGGTAGCCATGGTGGCAGGGATGGGGCTATGCATGTGCTCAATAGCATGAGTTCATTTTCACCAAATCTTATATAGTTACTACCACTGATGGGTATCTGACTTCTTAGTAGCCAAGGCTGATACTGAGGTCTCTGAGGAAACCAACCAAACATTTGATGTCAAGTTGATTGTAACAGACCTTTTCCACTCTGGAAGGGGCAGTGATTAAAAATTATTGGAATTTATACTGATTCTGGTGTGTTATTGTGATTTATAATAAAAAACATGTGTTTGGTTTTCGTCCTTGTTTCTGGCACAGAGCTGGTAAACCCTTGGAATTTCTTAAGTGATGAGATCAACATGGGTGTCTTTTGTTACATTAATCAGGTGACTTTTAGACCTAAGGATTGTTGCTGGGGAGCCACCTATGTGATTGGAGAGTTGGAACTTTCAGTCCCCCCTGACCTATGGGGCGGCGAGAGGGGCTGGAGGTTAAACTGATCACCAATGGCCAATGATTTAATCAATCATGCCTATGTAATTAAGCCTCCGTAAAAACCCAAAAGGACTGGGTTTGGAGAGTTTCTGGATTGATGAACATGTGAAGATGCTTGGGGAGTGGCACACCTGGAGAGGGCATTGAAGCTCAACGCTCTTTCTCCATTTCTTGCCCTGGGCATGTCTTCCATCTGGCTAGTCCTGAGTCACATCGTTTTATAATAAAACAGTGGTCTAGAGAGTAGAATGTTCCTCTGGGTTCTGTGAGATGCTCTAACAAATTGACTGAACCCCAGGAGGGAGGGTCATTGGAGCCTCTATCTGTGGCCAGTTGGTTAGAGGCACAGAGGCATAATGTGGACTTACGATGGGCATCTGAAGTAGGGAGAGGGGGCAGTATCGTAGGACTGAGCGTTTGACTTGTGGGATCTGATGCTATCTCCAGGTGGATGGTGTCAGAATTGAGTTGAATTCTTGGACCCCCTGCTTGTGTGCATGAATTGCTTGGTGGTTTAGGGGGAAGACCCTCCCCCTGCAAGTACATGGGAAACTGGGTGCAGAACCCAATTATCCGGATATAGGTTTTCCCTCTTTATTTCCAGGGCCTCTTCCCAAGGACTTACAGAGTGTCTGAGTTACCAACGTGGGATCTACATAACATCCCTCAGACCAAAGGGACTATTTTATGGTGAAGTAAGTTTAATAATGGTCACATTACCATGGAATTCACTGCTTCTACCATATAGCACCATCATGCAGAATCTCTTGATTGTCCTGATAGAACTTTGAAATGGTGTCTCAAAGGCTCAGCTAAGGCCACAGCTAGAGGAAAATGCACTGTGGCATTGGGGCACTGTCTTCCCAAATGCAGTCTATATGCAATGGAACAAATGGCCTTTCACGATTCTGTGTCCCCAAGAGCTGGAAGACATATGCTGGGAACCAAGAGGTGGCAGAGTCACCAGCACTCCCAGTCACCTGCTTTGGGGATTTTTACTTCCATCTCGGCAATTTGAGGTTCTGCAGGATTATAATCGCTAGGAGGGGGTTGGGGATGCTTCCACCAAGAGATATAAGAATTCCACTCAACATAAATTTACAACTATTGCCTCGTCATTTTGTGATCCTGATGATAGTAAGCCAGCAGGGAAAGAAGGAGTTACTTTACTGTTGGAGGGAGCCAACCTGTGAGATGTTAAGGTTGTTTCTTCATAGTGGAGGCATGAAAGTGTACAGTGTCGGTGAATTCACTATGATGGAGGTGGCAGCATGGAGGATAAGTCTTGATCCTTCCCTGTCCAGTGATAACTATGAGCAGCTAATTGTAGCAATCACAGCCTTACAAGGACAAGGTAACCAGGGCTCAAACACCTCAGGGATGAAGGTCTGGATCATCCTACTGCGAAAACTGCCTAGGCTTAGAGTGAGAGGAATCTAGAATGGATAGAAAGGGGGAAGGGTGTGATGGATTTCAATTATGACATCAGATCCAGCTGTGAAAACAGGAACTGCAGCTTATTCTGTAAGCTTTCCCAATTTTAGTATTTTTCTCTTTTTAGAGATTGTGGCTAGCTACCACCTTGAAGCATAAGAGAGTAGACTCATGGGGTATGAGTGGATCTGAGTGATACAAATGACAGACTGTAACAGATATGGTTGTTGTTTCACCCTTTACATTTATTTTCCAAGATAATCTTCACAGAATCTTCTGAAGTAGAAACCACTTAGCTTAGGAAGGCTAAGTACTGAGGTCATACAGCCGCCTAATGTTAGAGCTGTGATCCCAAACCAGGACTATCTCAATCAATGACACTTGAGATATCATTAAATGGAAGAAAGAAATACTTCCAGAATGGTGGAATAATGACCTATGAAAATCCACTCCTCAAAAGGAGCAACAAACAATGGCAAGAATTTTCAAAATTAACTTTTTTGGAAATTAATCAAAAGTTTTCACAAATCTATGGAGTGTTTATTCGAGAAAAATGGCTGAATCTTGATAAGGACAGCATGCTTTGTGACATTTTAACTATCCCTATTCTCATCTCCCTGTCCCTGGCTCCATAGTAGTCTTGAATACAAGCAGCCTTGCAACCACAGCATCTAACAGCTTTGCAGTCCCTGAAAAGGGCAGACAGGTTTGGAGCTCCCCCAAAACTCCATGTCCAGAGATTTATCATGATTTGACCTGTCTGGCAGCTCCCTGAAAACCTCATTTATAGAGCTTGTCTTTATTCAACTTAACTCAGACCTTGCACACTGGGAAACCCCTCTCCCCAGGATGTTTGTTGAAAATAATCAATGGCAATTGTTTAGCATCACAACTGCCAGAGACACTGATACCAGCTGGGGATTTCCAAAGGGAAAATCTGAAGAATGAGAGGTCAATAGGGGACTTTGAAAAGCTCCAACATATTAGTGGGAGTCTAGAAGGCCACACACATGTCCATGACCAGGAAAGAGAAGGCTCTAATCTCTAGCCTCTGGCTGACCTTGAGGCTCTGTATAAGCAAGCAGTAAAGGCTAAGGCAGAATTGTAGATGCCACAGTATTGGAGTCATGTCACAACATACGTACAGAACTCTGAAAAGAGTGGGAAATTTATTGGTTCAAGACATCTAAGGAAATCTCTGCCCAATAATTAGTTGACCACTAAACTAACCGAGAAGGTACTTCAGTAGCTACAAGTAAAAAAGAATATAGATTTTACAGAAAGTCAGGAGAGTAACTAAGCAAACAAATATTAACAACAACAACAATGAACAACAACAACAACAAACCCTGGAGAGGAGGAGAATCTTATTTTGGGGATTGCAACATTATATTATTTAAAATATCCAGAGTCCAACAAAAGAATTATGAGACATGCAAAGAAACAGGAAAGTATACCCCATACAAAGGAGAAAAAGGAATCAGTAGAAACTGTCCCTGAGGAAGTCCAAATGTTGGACTTACCTAGACAAAGACTTTAAGTCAGTTATTTGTATTTGTTCAAAGAAGTAAAGGAAACAACATCTAAAGAATTAAAGGAAAACACAAATGCAAAGACTGCATTGTATGACTCCATTTATATCAAATGTCCAAGAGAGGCAAATCCATAAAGATGGAAAGTAGATGAGTGGTTGCCAGGGCTTGAGGTAAGAAGGGAATGGGAGTGACTGCTTATGGGTCTGGGTTTCTTTTTGGGGTGATAAAATGTTCTTATACAGTCACACGCCACATAATGACATCTGGTCAATGATAGACTGCCTATATGAAAGTGGTCTCCTAAGATTAGTACCATACATCCTAGGCGTGTAGTAGGCTATACCATCTAGGTTTGTGTAAGTGCATGCTGTGATGTTTGCACAATGACAAAATCACCTAACGATGCATTTCTCAGAACGTATCCCCATCGTTAAACAATGCATGACTGTAATTAGATAGTGATGATGATTACAGAACTCTGTGAATATAGTAAAACTGCTGAATTGTGCCCTTTAAAACAGCGAATTTTATCTGGGCATGGTCTTACATGCCAAGATCACATAATTTGCTATCAAATTGTTGAGCTGCCAAGCTGAGCATATAAAATCATTGGAGCATATAAGTGCCATCAAGGAATCAAAGTATTCCAGCTTATGTTTTTGAAAACGTATCAATGCTTTTCTGAATTTCCCACACCCTATCGTGCTTTATATCTGATCTCTTCACTTTCTAAACACATTTGCTTGTATTTTTGAAATTTATGAAGATTCTGTTCTATTTTGTATCTACATAATTAATATTTAGTTGAGTCTTTTCAGGTGAATTCTTCAGGCAAATTGACCTTTCTACACCTCCCCTTCCACATCCTCCCAATCCTACAGCCCCTTGATGTAGAAATCTACATCATCTCCAGCATGTGTCTGGGGCTCCCTTCAGCATCTCCCAGCAGTATCTGAACAAATGAGTTTATAAGTTGACATTTGGGCCTAGAGTAAGCTTGAAAAGATGCCAAAGGCGCTTGCCTGAATTAAAATCATGGCATTAGCAAGAAATGATTTTTCCTAAGGAACTCAGACTTGATTGACAAGGCTTCCATACTTAAAAGGAAGATATTTTTGCTCTGGGAAATGGCTGTGTGATGATGAGCCAACATGAGACTTGCATGATTAAGGGAACTTAAAGAAAAGTTTAGGTTGAAAAAAATCTGTAGGGTTTTCTCTCCCCATTCCCCATCCCGGTATATTTTATACAAATTATATGGAGTCTAGTAAACATTCAACACTTTATAAGGAAAACAGGTTTTTCAAGCTGAATAGAAGACAATCTACAGTTTTATAAAAATGATTCATTTCAAGTCTACTATTTGTTATAGTCCAAAGAAAGTTTCAAAATGTCCCAGTAGATTTAAACAGCCTTTTGCTTGTAGAACATGGAATACCAATGTTTTTGGACTGAATTCTTATAAATATCTATTGGGGTTTTCGGAAAGGAAAAGGAATATCATCTCCTATGATCACACACATTTAGGGAATAAATAAACAATGGAAGGGAGCCAGTAGACTGGAGGATTCTAAAAGAAACCCAGATAATGATCACCACTGTGGGTCGTACATCTGCGGGAGAATAGAATAACGCTGGGGTCAAGCCCATTCATCCTGGGCCACAGTTGGACTTCTCAACATGACTGAGCTTGAGATTGAACTCATGTGTGGCCAGATGACCATGGAAACTCGCATTCTGGGCATGGCTTTTGTACAAGCTCACCAAGTTTCGAGAAAACGCCTTTTTCCCTCTACTCTGAGCTGTCAGTCTTGTTGTCGAATATGATGTGTCTTGTTTAACTTGGGGGACGATTACTTACGGACTTCTACTAGTATCACATGAAGACTTCAGTATCAAACACAAGCTTCTGTGGGGACCTTAAAATGTGACCTGAGGAAGAATATTCAACACTATGAGCGGGTTCATGTGTTACTAATGTTCGTATATTAACACATTTCATGTTACACATTAATGATGACGGTGATATCTGTGTAGAGCATTTCAGAATTTACAAGGAACTTTTACAGATGTAATTTTGCTCAAATCACACAACAAGCCCGTGAGGTATTCAGGGCAGTCATTTTGTCTTCATTTCACACATGGGGAAACTGAGGCTCAGCAGAGTTGAACGCTCTGCTTGTTACTAGTGGACCCAGGCCGGGACCAGGTCTCCTGACTCCGGTTTCACAAAGTTTTGCACAACCATGTTCTCGATTTGGTCTGTACATCAGAATAATCTGGATACTGTTAAAAAAAGGTACTCATGCCCTGGCTGAACCTCAGACCAGTGAAATCAGAATGACTTGGCATGAGACCCACGCCACAGTATTTGTCACAGCTTTTCAGATAACACCAATGTACAGCCAAGTTTGAGAACCATATTCTACAATAGTGTGTTTCCTCCTTAAGGGAAAAGTGGCATTTAGAAACTTTGATGTGTAACAGGCCAAAAAGTCACACTACGAAGAGTTTGAGATGTTCATTGTTTTATTTAACCATTACTTATTGAGAATCTTCTATGTGCCTTGTGGCACTATTCTAGAAGATACCACAGTGAACAAGACAAAGTTCCTGGCGGTCTTGTTACTTCACTAGCGTGATTATCACCTTGGCTAGGCAAAGTGACATTCTCTAATGGTGCTGAATCTTCCTCACTCTGGTACCACTTCTTACATGATCTTGATGCTGATCACTTTCTTCCTACATGGATTCAGAGCACCATGACAACAGTGGGATGCATAAACACTAAGAAATGTTCCATTGTGTAAAGATGCATGTGAAAAATTCCACCCAGAGTTCAGTATAAAGAAAAAAAGCCTTTCTTCTGCTACCTCATATGCTTCCTTTTGTTAGATAAGGGGAGCCATGTAATCCATCATGCTCTGCTTTTTGACCTGGCTGCTAGAAGGCTTGGAACTGTTTTATGTACAAGTCTGGTTGGTTTCCTTCACTGCATCTCTTCTGGCACATTTCCTCTGTATCAGTGAGAGTCTTGACCCTCCTTACACTTAAACATAGTCATTGTGGAGTGTTTAATGAAGGTCTGGGGAGGGCGAAGGGAAGTCAACCAGTTATAGCGGAATGTCCTGGAGCTAGCTGCAGCTGGAAGCAAGCCGTGCCCGCCTGGGCCTGGAGGAGAAATGAGAGGCAGTAGTTGCTGGAACATGGAAGGAGCTTGCAGCCGCAGGAGAGGGCTGACGGACAGGAACTGTGGCTGTTGGTGGAGGACCACAACCCCTGCCAACCCAAAACCCCACAGGGAAGGAGCCTGGGGCAAATACCCCAACATCTTTCTCTTCTTGACCTTCAATCCCTTGCCAAGGATGGCCATTGGCTAAAACAGACAGAAAACAGAGGGCAAAGAAGCAACTGATAGACTCCACAGAGGTCAGTGTCCCAGGACACAGAGCAGGGTGAAGGGTGGATCTGGAGAGGCAAGCGGAGACTATCCAGCACCCCATTGTCACTAGGCAACGAGCCCTGTCCTTTAAGCGGCTTTTATTACAACTGTGT